CCCCCCCAACCCTCATGGTCCCAGCCTGCCAAGACCCCCTAGCTCCACCCCCCTGCGTTGGTTCTGCCCCTGTGCTGACCCCGCCCCTGCCCCCACAGTGCCGGCCGTGCTGCGGTGCTGCGCTGCCTTCATCGAGCAGCACGGGCTGGTGGATGGGATCCCGGGCTCGCCTCCAACATCCAGCGTCTGAGGTGAGCAGGGGCTGGGGGTGGGGCCCCAGGGGCAGGGAGGGGCCTAGGAGGGTGGGCAGGGCCTAGGGGGTTGGGACAGCAGGGGAAGGGGCAGATGGGGCTAGGAGGGTGGGAGTGGCACAATGGCTGGAGGTGGGGCTAGCTGGGGTGGCTGGGTCCAGGAGGACTTGGGGTAGGGCCAGGTGTGCGGGGCCCAGGTGGCTGGGGGCAGGGCCAAAATGGAAGTGGGCAGGGCATTGTGAGCAGGGTAGGAAGGTGGGGGAGGTAACATGACTGGAGGTGGGGGTGCTGGTATGTGTAGGGCCAAGATGGCTGGAGGTGGGACTAGGAGGGGTGGGCGGTGCCAAGATGACTGGGGCCAGGCCAAGGTGGGTGGGTGGAGGGAAGACAGATGGGGTGGGGCTAGGAGTGGTGGGGAGAGCCACGATGGCTAGGGTGGGGCAAAGATGGGTAGGCAGGGCCAAGACAGGTGGACGGGGCCAAGACAGCTGGAGGTGGGGCTAGGTGAGTGGGCAGGGCCCAGATGGCTGGGGGTGGGTCCCCAATGGGTGATTCAAAGCCGAGGGTGGGTGGAGCCAAGATGCCTGGGAGTGGGGTTGGGAGGGGCCAATGCTGCTGACAGTGGGTGTGGAGGGGTGGGTGGGTTCGGAGGACCGAGATGGCTGGAGGAAGGGTGGGCGGGGCTTGGAGGTCTGGCGGTAGGGGTGAGGTCAGCAGTGACCCTGCCCCCCGTTGGCACAGGCACGAGTTTGACAGCGAGCGGGTGCCGGCGCTGGCCCGGGCGCCGTTCCTGCAGGACGTGCACAGCGTCAGCTCGCTCTGCAAACTCTACTTCCGCGAGCTGCCCGCGCCGCTCCTCACCCACCGCCTGCACCCGCGCTTTGCTGTGAGTCTGTCCCCACCCCTGCCCCTGCCCCTGCCCCCACCTGGGGAAGCTCCTTGTGGCCTGCCACCCCTACTCTGGCTCCACCCTCTGCTTGGCCACGCCCCTGGGATACACCCGGTCCCGGGTTTGAGTTTCTGGGAAAGGCTCCGCCTGCTCTGGCCCATGCCCTGCCTTGAACGCACCCCCTCACTCTTGCCTTTTGGACATGCTTCCTTTGCTGGCCCTGCCCCTCCTTGGGTGTGCTTCTCCTGTAGACCCACCCCCTGAGACATATCTGCCCTGGATTTGCTGCTCTGGGACCTGGATCCCCTGTTCAGGCCACGCCTCTTTCTTAGCCATGCCCCTGCTGTGACACGCCTCCTCATAGGGCGTGTCTTACTTAGCCACGCCCCCCTGGGACATGCCTCTGCCTTGGATTTGCCTTTATGGGACAAGTCCCCTGCTAATTGTCTGGAGGTGTGGCTAGGAAGGAGGCCTGACAGGTTCCTCCTCCCTAACCACACCTTAGCCACACCCCTGTCTGGCCCCGCCCCCTAGGACTCTTCTCTTACCTTGTCCCTGCCCCCTGCCCATTGCTCCGCCTCCTAAAGATATCCTCTGCTTTTGGCTCCATCCCCAGGGACACTGCCCTCTGGCCATGCCCCCATCCCTGGCCACACCCCCAGGACTCACCTACCCTGGCCCTGTCCCTTCTCCCAAGACTCCCTCCTTGCCCTGGCCATGCCCTTATCTCTCTGGCCACAACCCCTTCCCTGGCTCTGCCCCCAGACCCCCCTGAGTCTGGCTCCACCCCCATCTTTCCTTGCCACTTACTTCATGCCTCTCTTCCACCTTTGTGTGATGTCCTTGGACATGTCTCCTTCTCCCTGGCTGTGTCCCTGTCCTGGCCACACACCCTGCCTCCATCCTGCCCCCTTAAGCCACGCCCCTCTTTCCTTGCTATTGTCACTCCCCCTGGCCCAGCCCCCTTGGGATTCCCTCTCCCCAAACTGTTGCCCTGATGCACTGCCTCTCTCCCCTGCCCTGCAGGAGGCCATGGCGGTGTCCAATGAGGAGGAGCGGCTGGTGAGGATCCACGATGTCATCCAGCAGCTGCCCCCACCCCACTACAGGTGCCATGGCGGGGAGGGTTTGGGGCGACTGGGGGATCTAGGGGTTGGGGTGGGGTGAGAGATCTGGCGGGACTGCGCAGGGTGTGACTGGAGGGCCTAGAGGCAGAGGGGTGTAGGTGGGGGGGATCTCAGAGGTCAGGGGGTTTAGGGATGGGGGTCTGAGGGGGGTCCTGAAGGGAGGGATGCCCTAACCCCCGATTCACGCCCCCCAGGACGCTGGAGTTCCTGCTGCGGCACTTGGCACGCGTGGCCACGCGGAGCCGTGACACTGGCATGCACGTGCGCAACCTGGCCATTGTGTGGGCCCCAAACCTGCTGCGGTGAGACCCTGCCTGGGACCCCCTCCACCTGCTGCATTGAGACCCCTCTGCCCCCACCCAAGACCCCTCCAACACACCCCTCTCCCAAACTGCTGTGGTGAGACAGCCCTGGGAACCCTTTTGGGATCCCCTGGGGACCCCCAACCTCCTGCAGTGGGACCCCCCCC